AGACATGGTGAATTCAATCACCAAGAAGAACTAAACAGGATATACACCAATATGAACCCGAAATACAAGTTGTATATAAAGAGGCAAGACGTATCGTCAACACAGGACATCATCAGACTAGCGGAAGAATATGATATGGTCCAAAAAGAAATATATAACAGAAACAATACAAGGTGTGACTGGACACAGGCAAATAGTCGTAATAACAAAATACAGAATTTCGACAGACAGACTTGTTGTTGGAGATGCGGCCGCAGAGGCCACAATAGAAGAAACTGCAGAGCTATCGCTGTACTCTTCTGCAGCCATTGCGGAACCCGAGGAACAACTTCCAATAACTGCCAATGTAGAAGCCGACCGGAAAACTCCAACAGGACTGGACAAGAAGGAGGCAACCCAGTCAGCATTTAGAGTCCTCCCTAACAACCTCCAGCTACGCACACTATACAGATCAACGACCCCACACAACGATAACGTTCAGCAACGGTAAAAAGTTAAAAGCACTAATAGACACAGGAGCCCAAAATTCGTTTATAGGACAAAAAGGTAAAAAAATATTGGAACAATGTGGAACAAAAAGCGACAGAAAAGCTTTAAAGATCACGCTGGCAGATGGAAAAACCAGCAACATAGAAATCTGTTTTACAGCAAAATGTTCCATAGACAACGTTTGGAGAAAAGCCAAGCTACATTTTTTACCAAACCTAGCTTCAGAAGTAGTACTGGGAATGCATGAAATAACAAGATGGGGCCTTGATTTATCAAACATCTTAAATAGAAATCGCGTAAGAAGGAGAGAACAATACCCAACCAGGACAGAACACAGATCCAGATCGTACAATGCAGACAATAACCGAATACCGACCAATTCCAGGGTCAACGAAACACCAACCGCAAGATATCCGCTCCAACAGAGAAGCAAAATATATAACAAAACGACCTACCGACTACCGACCGATACCGCGGTCGAAGACCAGACCGAAAATATACCGACTACCGACCGATACCGCGGTCGACAACCAGACCGAAGATATACCGAACTACCGACCGATACCGCGGCCGACGACCAGACCGAAGATATTCCGTCATACATACCGGAATTCACGAACAGTCCGAAACGAGAGCAACTCGACATCAGTACTACACTAAACAATACCGAAAAAAAAAACAATTACAGGAATTGTTACTAACAGAATTGGAGAAATTTAAACAAATTAAAGGAACAACACATCTAACCGAACATACAATAAAACTCAAACATAATACACCGATCAAACAAAGATACAGGCCCCGAAACCCGGCAATGCAGAAGATCATAAACGATGAGATAGATAAGATGCTAGAAGAGAACGTGATAGAAAAATCTAATAGCCCGTACAGTTCCCCCATCGTCCTAGTAAAAAAGAAGGATAACAACGGATACAGATTTTGCATCGATTTTAGGAAAATCAACGACATCTCAGAAAAAGATGCCTACCCATTACCGTACATCAATCATATCCTAGAAAAGTTAAAATCTGCAAAATATTTTACCACGTTAGATCTAAAAAATGGATATTGGCAAGTACCACTTTCCGAAGCAAGCAAACCCTTGACCGCTTTCATAGCACCAGGAAAAGGACTATTCCAGTTCAAAGTACTTCCATTCGGATTACACGCCGCCTCCGCTACTTTTCAACGATTACTAGATACAATAATCGGCCCAGAAATGGAACCACATGCATTCGCCTATTTAGACGACATAATAGTACTGGGGAAAACGTTCGAGGAACATATGGAAAACTTAAAAGAAGTACTTCACAGACTACAGCAGGCCAAACTACGAATTAATATAGACAAATGTAAATTCTGCAAAGAAGAGATAAATTATTTAGGCCATGTAGTAAACAAAACGGGAATAAAAGTGGACGAAAACAAGACAAAAGCCATAGTCGAATATCCCGCGCCAAAAACCGTTAAACAACTACGCCGATTTTTGGGCATCATCTCATGGTATAGGAGATTTATAAAAGATTTTTCACGAACTACAGCCCCTTTAACAAAGCTACTAAAGAAAAAACAACATTGGACTTGGGACAGAGACCAAGAGGAAGCATTCAACAAAATAAAATTACTACTGACACAAGCTCCAATACTGATCTGCCCGGACTTCCAGAAAAGATTTTTTTTACAATCGGACGCTTCGAACCACGGTTTAGGAGTAGCTTTAGTACAAACAAACGACGAAGGACAGGAACAAGTCATCGCTTACGCAAGTCGAAACCTAACAAATGCCGAAAAAAATTACAGCGTGACAGAAAAAGAACTACTAGCGATCATCTTCGGTGTAGAAAAGATGAAACCCTACATCGAAGGATACCCATTTTCAATTATCACAGATCATCAAAGTCTACGATACTTACAAACAATGGAAAACCCTACAGGTAGAATAGCTAGATGGGCAATGCTGCTGCAACAATTTGACTTCGATGTCATTTACAGAAAGGGCTCCCAGAACGTCCTGGCCGATGCGCTCTCTAGAGAACCAGTAGATCTGGTTTGCATAATAAACGTAGAAGATGTAGAACCCGACGAGTGGTACAATAAAGCTTTAAATAAAATCCAGACAAATCTGCAACTATTTCCAGACTACTCTATCAAAGATGGACTTCTCTATCGACACTTCTGGGACAAATACGATTTAAAAGAGACAGAGGTATCCAACCCCTGGAAACTATGCATCCCAAACCACAAGAGACAACAACTCCTGGCAGAAAACCACGAGCAACCGACCGCAGGACATCTAGGAATAGCTAAAACAATAACCCGCCTAGCTAGAAAATACTACTGGCCAGGGATGTTTAAAGACGCCGCAAAGTTCGTCAGGAACTGCAAGAACTATCAGCAATTTAAGCCGCAACAAAGCTTAACTCCAGCCCGCATGCAATCTACACAAATTCCCCCACATCCCCACATCGGATAGTGACTCCTACGAGAGGACATCACACACTCTCCGAAACAAAGAAAAAGAGGTAATCAAAACAATGTTGAACCGAAGAAAGCCTGTTCACGTGATTGCCATTTAAAATCACCTTCGTCATGCAATCGAATCTTTGTGTGTCGAACGTTTTTTCTAAACACACTTAATCTTGGTCGTGATACATTTTTACGATGGATGGCACCAGCAAACACTACAGGCACAAACGATGTAACAGAGCCAGCTGTAGAAGAAGAAAGTAATCCTGTATCAAAATCAGAAATTAATCGTAAAAATGTTGAAAGATGGATTGAACTCTTACCGAAAGTTCCAAGTCATTATTGCAGGAGTCAGACAGAATATCAGTATGTTGAAAGTAATTTTAAATCATACAATAATATGCACAAAATCTACAAATACTGGTGTGTAGAAAATAATATTGATTCATTGTTGATGAGGTCGTAAGATTATGTGTCAAATATTAAAAAAAAAAAGAAAATCTCCATACATCGTCCTCGCAAAGACCGATGCGGCAAGTGTGTTAAGTTTGAAACTGGAAATGTAAGCAAGTCCGAGTATGACCTTTACGTTGTAATGAAGAATGAAGCACGTGAAGCCAAGCGTGAAGAAACAAGACTTGTAGTAACGATGGATTTGCAGTGTGATCTATTGAGTCCAAAACTGCTCGCATCTCTTGCTTACTATAGGCATAAACTTCAGTTGCATAATTTTACATTATATAACCTGAAATCAAGAGATGTATTCATGTGGACTTCATTCGTAACTGTCCGCGAAGTTATACAGAGTTCGTTTTGGTATCCGATGGTTGCAATTATCAGAACTGAAACAAAGTTTTGTGCAGTGCTCTAAGTGATCTGGCCAAAGAATTGAAAGTCACAATTGAGCAGATCATACTTGAATCTGGTCATACTATGATGGAAGTAGACTCGGTTCACTCGACACTGGAATCTGTGTTCATAGCTCCAATATGGACGCCATCTCGCTATGTAACACTAATGAAATCAGCACGACCGCGTCAGCCTTATGTTGTGAATCAAGTACATTACGAGTTTTTTTTTAACTATGAAAGTGTCCCATCAAATTTCAACAGCATAAGACCGGGAAAGTCTGTAGGAGATCCACGAGTTGTCGACATACGAGCACTCAAATACACTCCTGATGGGTGTGTATACTTCAAACTTCGACATTCTGAGGACTATGCTTTGCTACCACAAAGACGCCCTAACACACTCTTCAACTCTATACCTAAGCTTTAAGATAGTCCAAGACCTATTGACAATCAAAAATATGATAATTTGCAAGATCTCAAAAGATTTATAAACCGGGAAAGTCATGCATTCTATGACAGTTTGACACACAAATAAGTTCAAACTAAACTACAAAATGTTTCAGTAAATTTAATGTTTCGTTTAGAAGTTTCTAATTTTTGTTTCTGTTTTTTTTAATTCACAATAAACATAGTTGAATATTCATTTGTTTTATTTTTAAATCAATAATAAAAGAAACAAATTATTTGAACATGTTAGGCAAAATCTGCTATTTACTAAAATCTCCCAAGTAAAATCTGCTATGTAATTTTTTTTTCACAAAAACAAAAATAACTCTCAGTGTCTATTTCAGACTTACTAAAATACGTTTTTACATTAACCATATGATTATTTTACATATATCTTCCATAAACAACTATCTTACACAACGTACCATTTTCAAACACAACAGTTTTATGTCTCCCCTGTAAAATTTAGTTTTCTACACATAGCAGATTTTGCTCGCGCAACGACGCAATGTTTTTAGTGGGAATTTTTGGTTTCTCAAAATCTCTTCTATGGGCTTAACATGGCTCATTTACCTCAGTATTCAAATTAAATTAACATTGCCAGTATAGGCTTGTACTTGCAGCATTCGAATATTATTAATAGTGACTGTTTAGATACTTACTAAAACCAATTAATCAAAATATACTTTTTTGGATGAATAATAAAGAAGCAATGAAGGCAATCAAATTATGAAATTTATGTTTTAGGTGTTGAATTAGTTGGACCCAAGAAAAGGGTGTTGACGGGAATATTGTCCAGTTCTAGCTATGTTCTTGGTGAAATATTTACAGCAGTTGCTGCATGGACTACTCAATCATGGAAGTAAGTGTATTTTGTTCCCTTGCGATTTTGAAAATTTTGCCTTAATTTGTAGAATTTAAGTTTCCTCTAACCAGACTTTTTTATTAAATTGTATCTTAAAACCATAACTGGTTTAATATTTAAAAAGGAAGAAGTGCGTAATAGAATTTGCACACATAACTTACATAAAACTTATTGTTAATTTCTAACTGTAATACATAGATAACTTTTATTAAAAGTTTCTAGGCCAAACTAATTATTGAAATACCTACTATATGGATTATTGCTACAATTTTTAATTTGTTGTCTGCTATTTACTAAACACATTATAACGTATATATATATATATATATATATATATATATATATATAATATATAATAATTTAACAACCTATCTGTAGAAAACAACAAAAGCCATTATCAATAAAATCTATTTGCCTGTTGACATAAAATAATCTCTAATTCCTCGTGAAAAGTCTTCCAGAACACTTTGAATATATGGCCTACCAAAAAATTTACAAGCCCGAAATTCCCCAACGTCCCATTGTCAGTGCATACATCTGCCCCACACAACTATTGGCCAAAACTCTACAACTATTTTGCCGAAAATGCTTCATGCTTTGTCAAAAATTCTTTTCATTTCATCGAACTTGTTAAATAATACCCTATCTCACCGTCAGATATTCTAGTAAGTTTCGATATCGTCTCACTCTTTACAAATATTCCTATAGATGAAACTCTAAACATTTTGGAAACTAAATACAGTATCCAGCAAGACCACTTATCTCTCATTAAACATTTTATGTCCAACATTTATTTCATCTTCAAAATCAATTCTATAGACAAATCAACGGGCTCCCAACTATCTCCAGTTATTGCCAATATCTTTATGGAAGACTTCGAGATCCGAGCACTATCTACATCAATGCTCAAACCCACATGTTGGTTACGACAGGTTGACGATACATTCGTCATTTGGCCCCATGGCAGGGATGCTTTGGTATCTTTTTAAACCCATTTGAATGGTATACATCCTAGTATCCAGTTCACGATAGAGCTGGAAACTGATTCATCCCTACCGTTTCTCGACGTTATCATAAAACCAATCCCAAAGTTTTCATCCTTCCAGATCAATACGCCTTTTCGATGATGAAAGTACACCCGCTGAGGTCTTTTGTTTAAAACAAACCCTCATTCAAAACGGTTACCACGAAAATCACATCAATAGGAGCATCCACAGAAATCAATCTCCAAAGACTTTTTCTTTCAGGAGCTTTTCTTTCTTATATCAATGGTGTCACTGAAAAAATCGATAAAATTCTTAAATCGAAAGGAATAAACACAATATTTACCCCCCAACAAAAACCTTCGTCTCTTGTCCGATCAATCAAAGACAACATATCAAATTAACAACAGGGACTTTATGCAATTCCTTTTGCAGACTGCCCCCAATCATACATAGGCCAAACAAATCGTAGAATCTAAAATAGTATTTATTAACATTTCATTTCTGTTCGCAATTCTGACTTAATTTCAGCTCTAGGTCAACCATCGAGCAATAAGACAAAAGAGGGAATCTAATCCTTATGAAAAGGAGACCAAAAAAGTGGCCTCTGATGGCGGACATATCCGGAAATGCGAATGCGCGAAATTTAAATTTTCCGACACTTATCAACAGTAGCTATATAATATTTTTCAAAATGTGTCTTAGACGAGAAAGTTTTAATTAATTATTAATGATAAGAGTCTAAAATGCGACACAATTGTTAAAAAACTTCAATATAAATAAGATTTCATGTGACATTTGGGATAAACAATAACATAACCCAACTAAATTTGATGTCAAACAAGGAGAGAGACTCTCTTTCCTTGTTTAAAGTGGCCTCTAAAGATCGCACTTCCTGTCTAACAATATGTTTGCCCCCACTACCTTTACATTCCCTCTATTGTCTTTTTGCTCGATGAGGTCAACACCATCTTCATACAGGTCACAAAATTAATTTTGAAAACTCTAGAACCATCCGCTTCTATAAATCTAGTTTTCAAATTAAGTTTAACATAAATCATAGACACATGTTTGTTTACAGGGTATAAACTACAAAAAGAATTACGATTTGCTCATGTTTTAAATGCACAACTCTGTATTTTAACTTTTTTTTTTAAAGATTCCATTAATTATACTCTTTTAGAAATAAAAAAGTAGAAATAACTTAGTCTTGTGTAAAAATATAAAAAATTAGTCTTATATAAAAAATAACAGAACAATATGCCATAAATGTAACAGTTTTAGATTAATATTGTATCAACAGTATTCTGAGTTTTTATTAACACATTCATAGCGGTGGATTGTGATAAACAATTATTAGTAAGTACTTGCAGATAACTTTGATCAGGCACAGATAATGCTCCAAGAACTCCATACTGCCACAAAAAGAGTTGGTCTTAAAATAATATTTTCAAAAACACAATTTATGAAAAATTTAGTCCACAACAAAAACATCTCAGTAGAAGATAAAGATATTCAGCCAGTTGACTCCTATAAATACTTAGGCCATGAGATCAGAATAAGTCGAAACAACCAAACAATCAAACAATCAACCAAACTATCTAACTGGGAATAAGCCACAATTAAAGGTTAAAAAACATTTATTTATAAACGTTTATAAATAAACGTATTTTAACCTTTAATTGTGGCTTATTCCCAGTTAAATAGTAATTAACCAAACAATCGAGCTGAAAAAAAGACTAAACCTCGCTTGGGCTGCATTTGGACAGATGAAGGATATTTTTAGGTCTATGATTTCAATGTGTCTGAAAAGAAAAGTATTTAATCAGTGTATTTTGTCAGTGATGACCTACGGCGCAGAAACCCTAACACTCACAAGAACAACAGTGAGTAAACTACAAGGTGCGGAAAGAGCAATGGAGAGAATAATGTTAGTGATTTCTCTACGTGAGAGAATACCCAATGCTACTATACGCAAAAGACCAGGAGTAGCAGACGTTATTAAAAGGATAACAACACTAAAGTGGAACTGGGCAGGTCATGTAGCAAGATCAATTGATGACCGGTGAAAAAAAAAAGGATTTTGGAATGGAGACCCCAAATACAAGCTAACAGAAATAGAGGTCGACCCCCAACGAGATGGACAGATGACATAAAAAGAGTGATTACAAATTGGATTCAGATGGCGCAAAATCGGACTAAGTGGAAAAGCATGCGAGGGGCCTATGTTCAGCAGTGGACGTTAGAGGCTAGTTTATGATGATGAAGAGGCTACTTGTATCAGTTAACAACGGTAAAACAGTAGGCTTTAAAAAAAGGCAATTTTCATATTATTATCTTTTTTACCAGTGTGTGGCTTGTTTTTAATTTTAAAAATGAATTTTTCTGTAGAAGAATTAACAGATATAATTTCGGTATTTGAAAAGGTCTAGAAATTTCCTACTTGCATTCAATGAATATATCAACGGTGATATCCTAAGCTAAGGAAGCCAAACGCAATAGTTTTTGAAAAATTAATGAATTGTATTTCCGCACTGGGTCAGTTGCACATGAAAAAATGAGAGAAACAAAACTTTTATAAGCGAAGAAAAGAAATATGATGTACTGTTAACTACTACCGAGGATCCCCATATCAGCACTCGTGAAATTTCACGTCAACATAACTTTAGTCAAACTTGGGTGAACAAAACGCACCCTTACTTCAAAAGTGACACAACTCAAAAATAACAGCATTTGAGTTATCACTATAAACATTATCTGCAAACAAACTCACACAAATCATCAAAAGCATTTCAACTTGCATTCAAAAACTTCGGTGAGATGGCGACTGGATTCGGTTTTGATGATTTCCCACTCGGCATTTCCCTGCAGCATAAGTGTCACAATGTTAGTTGCGTGCCTGTCTTGGTCGTTGTTAGACGTCGCGCTTACTACTAAAATCGCACTATTTTTAGTTGTGTCGTTTTTGATGATTTATTTTGTATTTTCTATTGACAATATTTTGAGTTACCACAGTTTTGTTGAAAATTTGTGAAGAGAGTAAACTGCATTAATTGAAATTGGTTCACTTTTGTAAATTAAAGTAAGTAAAACATGTGTTTTTAATTTGAGTTATGTCACTTTTATTGATGTTATTTGTAACGAGCACAAAAATAAGCAAATCAAATATTTTTATGTTAGATGTTTTTTTGCTAACGAAGTCGAAATAAAGTTTAGTTTTTTCCGTGTTTTATCTTTTATCTCTATAGAAACTATTTTGACGTTTACGACCACAAATAAAGCAATTATTAGTTAAGAATCATGGCAGTAATTAGCTTGTTCATACCGAATCAGAACAAAATAAACGTGACAAAATGTAGGTTCTATTCTTTCTGAAAACATTTTAATAAATAAATCAAATTTAATAAATCAACTTTCAGGTACCTTCGTACAATTATGGATCCCATCAAAAGGCGAACCACTGCTATCCTTAAATTGGCAAAAGATATTATTATTCAAGAGTCCTTAACAACAATAGATGACACAGACAAAGAAAATGTTGTTTCTATACATCCTTCGACCGCCAGTCATGCCCACTGCAGCAATATAATGGATAATCACGAGAAAATAAAGAAAATCTGTATCTAAAAGTTACGTCGTCGCCAAATCCTCTGTCAATGGGACCCAGTAGCAGTCCTCTTACAGAAAAATGTAATAATCCTGCATCTAACGGAAATATTAATTTAAACTTTGAATCAGACACACTACCAACCCTAGTTTCAACAAAAGATGACATAAGTTTGAATTTTATTGGACAACATAATGATATTGTCTCTCAAGGCGTTGAACCAGAATGTAGCAGAAATATCATTTACAAAGCATCATACAGTTCTGAGCGTCCCACTAAATTACATTTACGAAGACAGCCAGAAAGAAAATTTCTAAAGACTTCTCCTGTACAAAGTGAAGAAAGTGATGTAGATGATTCGGATGCAGATCCAAACTACAATCAAAGCTTTAGCAGTTCTTTGAAAGTGATTTGGAAGAAGAAAAGGAAACAGATGTAATTCAGGCTATAGACTTAATGGATGAAGGTTTGATTGATAAAGAGAAAAAAAGGAAAGAAAAGAAAAGCAAGACCTGATACATGGGATGTCAAAAAAACTAAACTATTTAGAAATTCCGGAAAAGCTTATGTTTCTTCATCTAAAACCAAAAAAAAAATTCTGCTAGAAATATACGCCCACCTTGTGGAGACAAGTGTAGGCTAAAGTGCAGCTTAAAATTAAATGAAGCAGACCGAGAAAAAATATTTTTAAGTTATTGGAAACTTGGGGACTTACAGCGGCAAAGAGAATTTATTGTTGCCATACTGAAACAATAAATCCCAAATACCGCTATTCAAGTACACAGGATTTCAGACGTATGAACTCTGCTTTCTACTTTCTCATCAACGGCAGTCGCGTAAGGGTATGTAAGACATTTTTTAAGGCCACATTGGACATAAACGATAGACCCATTCGAACAGCTTTAATGAAAAAAGACAAAAATGGCTTTCTTCACGAAGATCAAAGAGGTACACACGGAAAGCAGCTTGTGTTGATCCTGAAATTAAAAAGAGTGTTAAAAACTTTATTGAAGCTATCCCGAGAGTAGAATCTCATTATTTGCGAGCCCAAACTACTCGGGAATATATTGAGAGTGGTAGAAATTTAGCAGATATTTACAGAGATTATAAGGAAGATCGTGAGTCTCGACAACTGCCTTTTGCTAATTCCATTATGTTTAATCGCCGATTTAACGGAGATTATAATATTTCATTTTTTTTTTCACCAAAAAGAGATCAATGAGATTAGCGTGAGGCATTCAAGAACTCCGATGATCAGGGCAAACGAGATTTGCTAGAAGAATATAATCTTCATATAAAGGAAAAGAGAGAATGACAAAAATAAGTCAAACGGCTCTCATGTTGCAGTATATGATTTGAAGGCAGTAATGCCAGTGCCTAAAGGTCAAGTGTCATCGTTTTACTACAAAAGTAAACTGAACTGTTATAACTTCACCATTAGCGACCTGAATGTTAAAAACCTTAGTTGCTATTTCTGGAATGAAACAGAAGGTAAGCGTGGAGCAATAGAAATAGGAAACTGCGTACTAAAGTATCTGCAAACTCTATCGGAAGATAATCACCACACAGATTTAGATATTACATTCTACTCTGACAACTGCACTGGTCAGCAAAAAAATAAGTATTTGCTCACAGCATATCTGTACGCAGTGACAAATTAAATAAAATATCCAGTATTACACACAAATTTTTAATACATGGACATTCTCAAAACGAAGGCGATAATGTCCACAACGTTATCGAAAAACAAATACAGAGATACCTTAAAGCCACCCCTCTATACATACCTGAGCAATATGGCACAATGATACGAACTGCCAAAAAAACTGACATCCCTTATCAAGTATTTTGGCTTACATTTGAAGACTTCTTTGACCTTAAAATACTTCAAGAAGAAATAGGTAGCAATTTCTCAAGTAAAACCGAAAATAATAAAGTTACTTGGAACAACATTAAAATCATGAGAGTAGAAAAGCAAAGTCCGAAAACATTTTTTTACAAAACTTCATATGAAGAAGACGCGTTTTAAGACAGTAAAAATTGGCAAAATCAAGAAAACTAGCCCAAAGAAACCGCCGAACCTGAAATGCGTTTGGTAGGAGCATACAAAAAGATTGCCGCTAGCCACTAACAAGAAGAAAGATCTTAAAGAACTTGTTGATAAAAATATAATACCAAAATTGTATTATGAATCTTTCTACAAACAAGTTTTTGATTTAAAATAATCTTATAGGTATTTAATTAACTACATTTAAAAGCTGTGTTTTATGTTTTTTTTATTTTTATGTCTCTTAATGTGAATGTATGCTTTTGTTTTTTAGATTTAATGCTCTTGTAAATTTACTTAGGTCAAAATAAACTTTTTTTTATGAAATTAAGTGTCTTATTCGAATCAAAATTATCATCGTAAAAACGTCATAACTCAAAACTTCGTCTAAATTCAAATTTGTAAAACTGTCACTTTTGCAGTATAAAACATTAAAATTGAACTAACTCAAAATAATTGATTAATTAATACACTTTTCATGAAAAACGTCATAACTCAAAAAATTGTATTTTTAAGGTAATAAAAAGCAGATACCAAACAAATCTAAACTAAATGTTGTTTATAAGACCAAACTAAAGCTGGTTTTAATTTTAAATCATCTAAATATCCCATATCCAATGAAAAATGAGTTTTTTGCTTCTCACCAAAAACTACATTTTTTGAGTTGTGTCACTTTTGAAGCAAGGGTGAGAAAAGTCCACCCATGTTAAAGATACCAAAGCAAAAATTTAGGCTAGAAGACAGTTGTGTATTGACCTAGGCTGTAGCATTAGAGGGTTAATATTTGTGTACTACAAGAAAGCATATAACTCAGCTAACCATGAAACAATCGATTTGATTAATGTGATTACAGATAAACAAAATGCATAATAATATGGCACTCTATATTTTAGACATATAGATGAGGTGAAGCCTCTGATGCGGTGGAAAGGTCATATAAAGAAGGTTACAATAAACTGAACTTATACGACATAATATCAAGGTAGTAGAGAAAACTTAAAGAGGTCTATTTTCAACATTTAAAGTTAAAGGCTGTATGATAATGGTGATGCGGATGATTCAAGTTGCTTACTGCAATATGAAAACAAAACAAAAAATCAATTACCACAAGAATTCAACCAAAGGATTACTGCCAGAACTTTTTTTTAATATATTTACTTATTTTAGGTCACACAATTTGTTTAGGTCACGAAACTTTTTATTGGTTTGAATGGTCTTTCGATGTAATTATGTATGAAATATAACATCGTTCAAATGTTTCTCGCGGCTTTGCTGGGTGACTAGCATCCGAAATGTCTAATTTTCTATGCCTCATGTTGACTGTGGGGTCCGCTGTGGTGTTTTTTATTTGGATATACCTGAAACTTGAGAAAAATTCACAATTAAAAATCTAAGGAAACCAAATTCTACATGAGGGATAAGGGAGCCAGTTTATATCATATTCATTTTTTTTACCACTGTATAATAGATGTTCTCCTGTTTGGGTATGGTCTTCACCATTGCTCAACCATCTTACGTCCGATAGACCAACAAAGCTTAATTTACACCTATTTAATTCTTTTACTACTTGAGCTAGTTTAGAAATCTCATACCGAGTTTTAACATTCCAGCAACCAAATTGTGTCCGTGTTTTCGGTGATGCCAAGTTCGTCAACAATTGATCCGTTCGGTTTGTTTCTACCAAAGTTTCAGTAATAAGATAAAATTTAAGATGAGTAGGTTACTGGCCTTCCGCACCCGAGTCTGATGCTCGGGTAGCTTTCAGACAAGTAGGAGATAGTGGTCCTGGAGGTGGTAACGACATTTCCTTCGTGCGAGATGTTTAGATTATACCGTCTATACTCGGTCGGGGAAGAGTATGTAGTAGAAAGAAATATAGTGACCCGTCTGCTTTCGGAAACCTAATCACCATTCGGGGTCGGAAGAAATAAGAGTTAGCCAAGAGAGGCTGATAGAAAAGATTAAAGACATTTCACTCAAGACAAGTTGAAGAAGAGTAAAATGTGCAGGTCCTTATGCCTCGCTAGGTGCGTTTCATAAGAGTATGAGTATTGATACATTTTGTGTTCCTGCTCATACTTCGGGGTGTTGACTACAGACTGTATGGTTCGTCCAGCATGCAGCATGCCATAGCATGGAGGATAGGGTGCAAGGCATTTTTACAATGTAGGCGCCCTAAAATTCATGGCCTGATACCCAGACATTGTATAAAGTGTTGTTCTTATAGGTAATTTACCCAAGGATGTATTTTATTTCTGCCATTTCTTGTTATTTTATCTATTGGAGTTGTCACTTAGGCGTAGATATTTTGTAACCATATGTTGGCTACTGAGCCTTAATATGTACTTCTCTAAATATAGTTCTAAAACTTGTCTTGCAACATTTCTATGTTATATTTACTACTAAATATAGTAGATATCAAATACTGATCTCCATATTAACAATAATATTTAATTTTAGACCCATCATTTATATTCTGTATTCGCCCATATTTCTGCTCATATCCTACATATGGCTGGTTCCCGAATCTGTTAGGTGGCTTCTGTCCAAAGGGCGCAACGAAGAAGCAAAACATATACTGAGAAAAGCTGCAAAAGTCAACGAGAAGGAACTATCCGAACAAACTTTAGAGAAGTTGACTTTATCTGAAGAAGAGAAACCAAGCGAAACGAGTGATATTTTGAAAGCCATGAAATCTACGACTTTAACCATAAGGTAAATAGAGCTTAGCATTTTCGTGAATGAGTATCGTTTCAGAGTATTACTTAATAAAAAGTTTAAGTTATTATGTAAATGTTAACCATATATTTAAGGTTGGTGCTCTGCTCTTTCTGCTGGATAGTGTGTACTTTCCAGTTTTATGGATTAACGCTAAATTCAGTCGCTTTGGTAGCAGGCAACAGTTACTTGGACTTTATGCTGACTGCTCTAGTCGAAATACCTGGATATGCTGCTTGCAGATACTTGTTGGTATGGTTCGGAAGAAAAAAGTCCCTATTCGGAGCATATTTCCTCACTGGAGTAGCTTGTGGATCATTTTTATTGGTGCCTGAAGGTAAGTTAATGATTTTATTCACTTTGACGATACGCAGCGATTTATTACTATTCAATTGGATGCCAGAAAGGGCTGTCCACTTCGTAGTGAAAAATATGTGTGAGAGGTCTGCCTTCATATCTTCGACCTACCATATCTAATGAGCATCGTAAAGCTAGCTGAGCATAAGTTTTTATACAGAAAGCGAAACACTTCGCTGTCTCGAAGATCTTAAGCAATAATATTTTTATAAAATAATCGATATCGAATTCAAATTTTTCCCACTGTGCTTTCTAAAACTTGCAAAGCAAACAGCTTGATAAATTACTCGGCAAGGGAATCTAAGATTGCATTCCACATGCCGTTCATCATGGTCAAAATTCGTAGTGAATTCAATTTCTGGTACTCCAAACGGAGTAAAGAAATAAAATATAAAGACGGTACTAGATTTTTGTTTCAATACAGAGCGGCGGCAAGCCGCTTATACGTATTTCGACCTCTTTAGGTCTCTTCAGAGCGGTATAGCCACCTCTCTGGATCGAAACAAAATCTATTCCCGTCTTAGACAATAGTTATAAAATAACTATATACTGACGTAACTACCATCTAATAACAAAAAGAGAAATCAAACGATTTCTACCTGGCGAAATCGAATTCAAATCTTGACCATCGTGCTTTCTAAAACTTGCAAAGCAAACAGCTTGATAAATTACTCGGCAAGGGACTCTAAGATTGCATTTCATATACGGTTTATCATGGTCAAAATTCATAGTGAATTCAATTTCTGGTACTCCAAAGAGAGTAAAGAAATAAAATATAAAGATGGTACTAGATCTTTGTTTCAATACAGAGCGGCGGCAAGCCGCTTATACGTATTTCGACCTCTTTAGATTAAAAAAAAAAGAGGTTAGTCTTCGTAAATGGGTATATTTATTTAAAAACCCTTAAAAGGGCTACATCAATAAAACAAACGTTTGGACCACACAGTCATCATCAGGTTTTAAATCGAAAAAATGCCTAAAATAAGTATAAACCATTTAGTTAAAACAAACGTGATTATGAAATTTTGACTATGGTTGAAAAGCAAAAGATGGTTATACTTACTAGGTCACAATGCCTGAGCCACCAAAATACCAGGGTAAAAACCCTTTAAATTACATTTAGTTATAAAAGATTATACATCGTGTTGTAAAATAACTGTGATGTTCAGTATTAAATTAAATTTGGCTACAGGTAACACATGGCTGAAGCGAGTTCCAGAGCCGGTGAGAGAACCTCTACACACGGAGAACAGCTGGTAACTGATTGACAAGATACTTATGAACGGTGTCGAAAACAAAATGTCAATGCAACATAAAACTATATTAGTTGTACATAGTATTACTACAGCCAAAAGATTCAACAAGTTTTTGATGATTTTAAAAAAATAACAGCAATCTAGGTGTTGGGATTTAAAAACTTTTTTATTTATTAATTTAGGGTATAAAAGATGTGAAATCAACGATGGTTTTATAGTCATGATTAATAGAATGACCTGTGTCTTAGGCAACTTATGTTACTTTTTGTCGTATGGAATGTGGTCTAGAAGTGTATTTTATGTTGGATTAGCTTATATATATGAAAATTATCCTTTTATGTTTATCACATCTAGGACAAGGTAAAAATTAAATAACAAATATTTGAAGCTAATATCAGACCTCATATTAAAATGACTTTATTTAAGACTGCTCGTATGGTGAAAAATTAATAAAAATAAGTTTAGTAAAATGGAAATCTACAGGCTGAAGAAATTAAAGTTATAACCTATGTGATTGAATTTAAAATTGAAGAGGCTGGGTTCCTCAGAGACTTAATGAAAATAAAAGTAAAGGGAATGACTGAAGAAAAGGGGGGGCGGTTAAAGGAGAAAAGGAGTTAATCAACAATTAGAGATAATAGGGGTCCTTCATACTTAAAGTATCTAGCACCCTGAACAAAATCTATTTTGGTAGTATTAAATTCAGTTTGAAAAAACCTGAAATTTGATGTATAAGTGTGCTACTAAGTTGTTGACCGAGAGAAGGTGGACAATGGTAGATAAGGATTCTTTGTAATAGGGTAAATTATGAATATTGATAAATTGTTAGATAATGTTTGAATGATTACTAAGTTAAAACTATTGGATACATGTTTGATATATGAATTGACCAAGAAATAATGAAAGAGAAAAGAATGGACAGGAATGTGATGTAGAAGTGGAGAGTGGATAAGATGGTGATATATTGGTATGATAGATGTGGATGGTTCTGAAGTTAACAGTAGGGTCGAAAATTTGTGAGAGGAAGGTGTGGCGATAGTGTAGAGAATGGGTGTTTAAAGAAACACAAATATTGTATAGGATTAAGGTGTTGACGCTTGTATAGGAAAGTAAGGCAGAGAAGGTAGGGCAGTATTGTGAAGTGTGAACTATGAAAAAAGTTGTCGATGTAAGGGTTGAAAGTCACGGTTGAAAGATACATGGCGATTAACGCAATTGGGGCTACTTTGCTTTTCTTTGACTATTTCCAAGTCTTCATATAGATCTAATTTTAGAAAAATTTTTTGAGGGATATTATGTAACAAAGAGACATCTTCTGGGATGTTGAGGGTATGTTTATGTTGTGCAAGATGTTGTGAGAAGGTGGAAGTGTTCTCTTTTTTAGTGTGTTCTAAGGAACGGGAAGTTAGTGATCTACAGGTTCTACCTATATATGTAGCATCACAATCAGAGCACTGTAATTTATAAACACCACTACGATCCATGTAGTTGATGGGATCTTTTGTATTGGTTAAACGTTGTCCTAGATTGTTCGGGACTTTGAAAGAAATGTGGGTATTCTCAACAGATCTTTTTAGGATATATCTAATATCTCCAGAAAGACGTTCTTGAAGGTATGGCAAAGAAGCATAATGAGGTTTGATGGTCAAGTCTCTGGGAAATGCAGTCTCTCTCAATAGTTTGAGTTGTCTCTTATTTATAAGTTTGTTAACGAGATTGGGGTCATATCCATTGTTGAATGCTAATTGTTTAAGGGTGTTAACTTCTGTATGGTAGTTGGATTGTGATAGTGGAATTGTTAGTAAGCGATGAATGTAACAATGGAAGGCTGCATATTTGTGTGACATTGGATGGTTGGAAGATAAAGGTATGATATGGTCGGTTTGTGTAGGTTTTCTATAGATACTGAAATCGAAATGGTCGTTTAATCTGGTAATGGTAAGGTCAAGAAAATTAATAGATTGAGACGATTCTAGTTCCATAGTGAACTTAATGTTTGGGTGGATTTGATTTAATTTAGAGAGTAACAAATCAGCTGAATTTGAGTTACCTGATATGAAGACTAAACAGTCATCAACATATCGAAACCAATGGAGAATTTAAGGATGATTTTTCATAATGTGTGTGGATTCTAAGTGATCCATAAATATATCAGCTAGGAAAGGGGAAAGACATCTACCCATCGCTAAGCCATCAGGTTGTCTATAAAATTTACTATTGAAAACAAAAAAGTCTTGAGCTAGACAAGTTTGTAATAATTGAATAATTGAGTTAGTGGTAGACATACCCTAATAGCACATGTACGTCCAGTGGACGTCCATAGTACGTCCCTCGCGGACTTTAGGGACGTCCCTCGAACGTCCGCTTTGGTCCTATTCACGTCCGTTTTACGTCCTATATTGGTCCGAATGTCGCTGCGCCAAACGTCCTATGGACGTCCATTTTACGTCCCGAGCGGACGTAAAATGGACGTACCAGGACGTTAATTGGACCTTAATCGGACGTCCATAATACGTCCAGAGGACTTACTTGACGGACTTTTGTGATATTTTCGGACATCTATTTTAGCGCTCAGGATGTAAATTAGGATGTAAATAAATTAATAACTTTAATTTCTTCAGCCTGTAGATTTCCATTTTACTAAACTTATTTTTATTAATTTTTCACCATACGAGCAGTCTTAAATAAAGTCATTTTAATATGAGGTCTGATATTAGCTTCAAATATTTGTTATTTAATTTTTACCTTGTCCTAGATGTGATAAACATAAAAGGATAATTTTCATATATAAAGCTAATCCAACATAAAATACACTTCTAGACCACATTCCATACGACAAAAAGTAACATAAGTTGCCTAAGACACAGGTCATTCTATTAATCATGACTATAAAACCATCGTTGATTTCACATGTTTTATACCCTAAATTAATAAATAAAAAAGTTTTTAAATCCCAACACCTAGAATGCTGTTATTTTTTAAAATCATCAAAAACTTGTTGAATCTTTTGGCTGTAGTAATACTATGTACAACTAATATAGTTTTATGTTGCATTGACATTTTGTTTTCGACACCGTTCATAAGTATCTTGTCAATCAGTTACCAGCTGTTCTCCGTGTGTAGAGGTTCTCTCACCGGCTCTGGAACTCGCTTCAGCCATGTGTTACCTGTAGCCAAATTTAATTTAATACTGAACATCACAGTTATTTTACAACACGATGTATAATCTTTTATAACTAAATGTAATTTAAAGGGTTTTTACCCTGGTATTTTGGTGGCTCAGGCATTGTGACCTAGTAAGTATAACCATCTTTTGCTTTTCAACCATAGTCAAAATTTCATAATCACGTTTGTTTTAACTAAATGGTTTATACTTATTTTAGGCATTTTTTCGATTTTAAAACCTGATGATGGACTGTGTGGTCCGAAAACGTTTGTTTTATTGATGTAGCCCTTTTAAGGGTTTTTTAAATAAATATACCCATTTACGAAGACTAACCTCTTTTTTTTTAATCTAAAAAGGTCGAAATACGTATAAGCGGCTTGCCGCCGCTCTGCATTGAAACAAAAATCTAGTACCATCTCTTATATTTTAATTCTTTACTCCGTTTGGAGTACCAGAAATTGAATTCACTATGAATTTTGACCATGATGAACGGCATATGAAATGCAATCTTAGAGTCCCTTGCCGAGTAATCTATCAAGCTGTTTGCTTTGCAAGTTTTAGAAATCACAGTGAGAAAAAATTTAATTCGATTTCGCCAGGTAGAAATCATATAATTTCTCTTGTTGTTATTAGATGGCGTAGTTACGTCCGTATATAGTTATTTTGATAACTATTGTCTAAGACGGGAATAGATTTTGTTTCGATGCAGAGAGGTGGCTATACCGCTCTGAAGACACCCAAAGAGGTCGAAATACGTATAAGCGGCTTGCCGCCGCTGTGTGTTGAAACAAAAATCTACTACCATCTTAATATTTTAATTATTTACTCCCTTTGGAGTACCAGAAATTGAATTCACTATGAATTTAGACCATGATGAATGGCATATGGAATGCAATGTTAGAGTCCCTTGCCGAGTAATTTATCAAGCTGTTTGCTTTGCAAGTTTTAGAAAGCACAGTGGGAAAAATTTAAATTCAATTTCGCCAGGTAAAAATCATATAATTTCTCTTTTTTTAATAATATTTTTCTTTTAGACTCTCACGCTGGAAGTCTTACTGTATATTTGCTGGGCAAGTTCGGGGCGACAGTTTCCTTTACACTGATTTACGTACACACCAGTGAAATGTTCCCGACTAAAATGAGACATACTTTTATGGCAATTTGCTCTACTTTGGGAAGAATTGGATCTATGGTAGCACCACAGACACCGATTTTGGTAAATATTTGAATTAATTAGGTATTAATATAACATTACAGATAACAATTTAAGACGATTTTTAAACATTACACTGATACAGTACGTAAACATACGTAAATGTTTACATAGATTCTTTCGTCAATTATTTTATGAATAATTTTTTTCTTCATCCCTTAACGCTAAAATACTTCGTGAGTTTTTGCAATATTGTTCCATTCTGCACTGCCCGTTATTCATGCCTTTAAGGTTTTCTCTTATGTATTATTTCTTAGAAGTTGTAACTTTATATTATTCTTACATAACAAGTACCTATTTCACATTGTTTTTAGAATTAATTTAGCATAGCTTTTGGGACAGATCTACGAAATTTGCTTCTAGCTTTAAAATATAGCCGTTTTAATGGGTTGGACCAAATAGGCATATAATTAAATAAATTTTTAATTACGACAAAATTACGTTTTGTAAAAAAAAATTTTAATTACGTTTACGGCAAAATGTTTGCCTCCAAACACAATTGCTTTAGTTCAGTTCAGTTTTACTTTAGCGCCATCTTCAGAGAAATCAGAGTTAGACTTCTGATCGTTCCTAGGTTGTATTTTGCCTTCATGTGAGTGTAGTATCTCCTCTAACGTATCAAGAGTATTTGGTACAGGTGTTTCTGCATCGCGAGGAAGAAAATGAATAGCTAAGGAGAGACTTGGGTATAAAATTAGGATGCTTTGATTTTTAGTTGATCTCTTTGACATCACACGAGCAGAAGTACCATAGATACCTCAAAGCGGAAACTTTTCTTTTACCTTAAATCAGTTTCGAGGATCCTCCATACATCTTTTGCAAAAATTATGAGGAATGCAAACTTTGTCTCCATCAACAAGTTTTAGTTTAAAGTATGTAAAATGTTTTCGTGTTGGTATATTGAATTGCTGCTTTAATACTGTATATTCGTCACAGATAAAACAAAAAGAGCCAAGTGAATTTCTGCACTTTGCGAGACCTTTTACGAACTTGTTCGTTTATATAATTATAAATAAAATCATATTAATACCAACTTGGTAAGTCACATTATACATATTAGAAGAAATTATCGAAAAAACAAATGGTCATTATCATCATCATCATTACCAGCATATTCTACCAATTATAGTGCAGCCTCCTTACATATTCATTCATTTCTGCCCACGATTGTCTAAAATTTGCTTTTCTGTGCCATGTTGTACCAGCTTGTTTCCTTATGTCAAAGTCCCCAATCCATTCTATTGTTTTTCGATCTCTCTTTGTTATACCTAGCATGCATCGCTCCATTGACCTTTGAGTGGATAGGGCCTGTAATGCGGATGGAAACAAAATGACCCAGCTAGAAAAACGCTCTTGATGGAGCCATTGGTCAGAGAAGAAGAGGAAGACCCGTACAAGGTTTCAATGCGCTAGAGAGAGACAAATCATCGGACAATTGCAAAAGATGTTGTCGTCACTACTCGTTGCTGACATGCTCAGTCTATGTTAATATATACGTCTATGGTTGAAAGTACCACCGCATATATGATGCAATTTGCAATTTGTATAACCACAGAATATGATATTCTGTGTGTTAAAAAATGGACGAAATCTGCATTCATATTTTGTGAAAATTTCTGCAATTCTAGACATTTTGTATCTTTTTGGTTTCAACAGATAATTGAATAAGAATTATTTGAAATTATTCAAACAGCTTTTGCTTTTGGTTGACTGCTTCTGTGTTTTTAAAGACAGGATAATGAATGTTTATCACCCATTTCTCCATTGTCATGACAATAATTACTTTCTGTCGATTGATCCTTTCTATGAACTTACTCATCATTTTTTTCATAAAGGTCATACTGATGAGTATTGAATCTGTTCGTTTTTTTTGCCTGCTTCATGTAGAGAACTGATGGTAAATGTCGTTCCATGTTTAGGTTCATATGACATTTTACAGCAGTGTATGTATGTTTCAAGCCAATTCGTTGAAAACCAATATTTACTTTGTAAATATTTCCTAATTGTTTAATTACACACAAAATAATTAATATCTAAAATACTTTTCAGGCTCAACTCTGGAATCCACTCCCTTTTATAACATTTACAGTCGTGTCTTGGATTGCTGCGTTTTTCTCCTTATTTTTCCCAGAAACATCCAACATCAAACTTCCCGATACAATTGAGGAAGCGGAAAACATCAAGCAGTTAAGAAAATTAGCTGAGAAAGAATCGTGTACATAGCTATTTGATCTGTGATCATTTTTAATATAAGATAAACAAAAATTAATATATTATGTAAATAAATTTTAAAATGTTTTTTATTTGATCGTCAACAAAAAAGTTTTTGAATCCGTAGATTTCTGATGTGTTTAAAATAAAATCCAGTTGATGATACCACAGAAAGGCTACTCTACCAAAGTATAAGGATAGCAATAAAAGATGTAGCGAATGAATATTTGAAACAATTTTAAAACAAGTAAAGAAAATTGGATGAACGATATATTATTACAAGTAGTGGATTGTTAATCAAGATCCTCTTTTGAAAATTATTATCCCCGAAGAAGGAAATTCACAGAAAAACATCGTAAGAAACTTCAAGTTACGTGAGTAGTAGCGGCCGTAGCTCAGTGGTTATTGTACAGGCTTACCAAAGCAAGACAAGAATTTTTTTAATTACTCTAGTCTAATTGCTGTAGTGCAGGGGTGCTCAAACGGTCGATCGCGATCGACTGGTCGATCGCGAGTGCTTTTTGGGTAGATCTCGAGAAGAAAAAAAATTTTAATAAGTAGGTAGGTAACTAAACTACTGTCAGCAGAGTTAAACGTTTTTATTAATACTGAACTATACAAATACATAGAATGCTTGACTAAGCATCATTGCAATTCAAAGAAGTGGGGACAACAAAATACTGTCCACACAGCATATTTTATATTTACATATATTAACTAATTATTTTATTAATTCAATATTTATTATAATTATTAATAAATTTGGGATGATATTCTATCAACTACAAAAATGTATTACGTAATAAAATAACACTGCTTGCGGCAAAAGGTGGCTTTATCAAAGGAACGCGCGGCACTTGTCAAAGAAAAGCCGTGTTGTTTCTAGACGAGAGACAGTACAGTCTAGTTTCGGGCGGCGCGTTTGACGGAAACATTCGAGACTTTCGTTCACGCCGATATAAATGTTGCGCCTGCAGGAATTGGAGTTATTCTGAATTGTAACTTGATAGCGATCCTACGTCGATACAAAGTTTATTATTAAATAGTGGAAAATGAGTGCAGTGAAGAAATCTAAAACGTATCATTTTAATAAGGATTGGGAGGAAGAATTTTTCTTTTCTATGGTGAAGGATAAGTGCATTTGTGTTATTTGTCGTGCGTCAGTTGCAATACCTAAGCGTGGTAACTTAGAGAGGCATCATAAAACGGTTCATAAAAACTATGAAAAGGATTTTCCGCCACAGAGTGAATTAAGAAAACGAAAAGTAAGTGATTTGATATCTTGTTTGAAAAAAGAACAATCCATGTTCACAAGACCAGCCAAACAATCAAAAGCTGCTACGATCGCGTCATTTAAAATATCTCATATTTTGGCGAAACACAAGAAACCATTTGAAGATGGATCGGTGGTGAAGGAAGCATTTATTGAAGCGGGTGAGACTTTATTTGGAGATTTTAAAAATAAAACAGAAATCATGTCTGCTATTAGAGAACTTCAGTTATCTCGTCCGACTGTCACAAGGCGTATTGAAGTCATGAGTCAAGACATCGCAGATAAACTAAAACATGATATCATGGAATGTACATACTTTTCTTTACAGTTCGACGAATCCATCGATATGACAGACACTGCCCAGCTGTGTATTTTTATTCGGATGGTATTCAATGACATGTTGGCTAAGGAAGAATTTTTGACAATCATTCCTTGAAGGGGAAGACCCTGGCGAAGATATATATGACGTTTTCTTAAATTTTGTAAAAAACTACGAGCTACCAATATATAAATTAATGTGCATTACAACCGATGGAGCACCAGCAATGACTGGAAACAAAAACGGTTTTGTGGCATTGTGTCGAGCTAATGAAGAATTCCCTTCATTTTTTTCATTCCATTGCATTATACATCAACAAGTTTTGTGTTCAAAAGTTTTAAACACGGAGGAAATTATGGGCATTGCAACAAAAATTGTGAATTCCATCCGTGCACGTAGCTTGCAACGGCGGCTCTTTCAGTTGCAGTTGGAAGATAGGGAGTCAGCTGAACACACTGATTTAGTTCTTCACACGGACGTCAGGTGGTTGAGTCGCGGAAAATTCCTAGAAAGGTTTCAAGAATTATTGCCCGAAATAACAGCTTTTCTAGACGAAAGAGGTGATGACACTCAGATTTTGAAAAACGAAAAATGGCTAAATGATTTGGCATTTTTGACTGACATCACAATGCACTTAAACACCGTTAACTTGGAGCTTCAAGGTAAAGGAAAAACTATTATTGAGATGATTAGCGCAGTAAACGCATTCAAAAGTAAATTGCAACTTATGATAGATCAACTGAAAAGAAAGGATCTGAAACATTTTCCGTCTTTGAAAGCAAGGATTCCTCAGTTGAATTATGATACGTATGAGGCTGAATTATCAAATATTTTGGGACAATTCGAAATGCGTTTTTATGATTGCAGTAAATTGGAAAATATAGCATCATTTATGAGTTATCCTTTTTCATGTAAAAACATTGAGGAATTAGCTACTGAAATAGCAAGTCAGTTTAATATGAACTCATGTTCTGTTGAAAATGAGTTGGTGCAGATTATATCAGATATACATCTCAAAGCTACAGTATCTGATACAAATTTCTGGCGTTTTATATCTGAAGATAAATATCCAAATGTAAGGCAAATCGCCCTTCAACTGACGGCATTTTTTGGGTCAACTTACTTGTGCGAGTCTGCATTTTCTGAAATGAAGATAATTAAGTCAAAATATCGCAATCGACTAACTGACGATCATATGACATCATGCTTGCGATTAGCACTCAGTGGTTACGTACCATCTTATGAAAAGTATGCTGAGGACATGCAGTGCCACGCTTCAACATCCAAAGCCACTCCTTAGTTAAGTTTAACACCATATGTAACTCTTTGTTTTGTAACAACAAATAAACTCGCAATTTTGAATAACTATGAGTTTTTTCATTGATATTGTAGAGAAGAACCTAACTAAACCTAACCCAAACCTTGACTAAAATAATGTACCTATATTGTGCAGAAAGCTAATATCTATATATGCTACGGTACGCCCTACCTAGGTAGGTAGGGTGTATCGTGTATGTACGACAACCCTGCATCACACACACTTGCAGTCTCTCAGAGTCGATCGTAAGTAGTCTAAAAATATTGAGGTAGATCGCCAGCAGTTCAAGTTTGAGCACCCCTGCTGTAGTGTAACTGAGCCCCCACTGTGCACCGAAAGCCGTTGGTTCCTATTACGTAAGTAGTCGTTAAGACTAAAATCTGAGTCAGAAGGTTATACGAATCGAAGATATATAATAAGCTAATTGGTTGTAAAGCAATAAACTTCTTTAAAAAAAATCACTTCGGTGGTCCAGAAAAAATTACCAAACACTAAACACTTCAGAGACAAACCTAAACACTTCAGAGTAACCTTTGGACAGGTCTTTAAAAAATGTGCACCATTGTCTTAATAGAAAAAGTGGCCACCAGAAACAATTTAACTAAGAAAATTTATTGTTAATAGAAGAATACGCTTACTATATAGTCTGAAACCGATCGGTCCACACAAAACAAGTTGACCTTGGCTTGAATCAAACATGAAGGATAATCACCGGATGAAAATATGAAATATGTCCCATCCAGACTCCTATATAAAGCGGAAGGTTCCTCGCTACAACTGTTGAATACATAAAAAAGTTTAAAAACTTCGACGAACGCCACCTTTTATAGCATACACAACGCAACACCTGTCCCAAATGCTCCAAAAAGATGTCGTTACTGAATAGGACTTTTCATCAAAAAACAATGTCAGCCATTTTTTTCGAACAGACTTTTTGTAAACAAACATGTTAAGTTAGATTATTAATATAAATAATTAGTATTAAAAATACCAAAGACAGTCTAGTTGTTGCAAAAAATAAAGTGGCACAATCACAAATCAATTTTTTGAATCGATTAATATTATGATACCTGTACGAAAAGGAACAACGAAGCGGTATTGTTATGGAATATAAGTCATACACGCTCTAAATCATTTAAAGACGATACATAACATATGACGTATAGAGTAGACACTGGATTATATGCAAAATGCATTTGCATATATATGCAGCATATTTATAGGTTTCTTTATAAATGCATATGCTACTCATATTTACTTGATTAAGAGCCACATATTTGAAAATACACTTGAGAGCAAAACGATCGACTCAAAAGCGATATTTGAGATTACACCTTCTGTTTTAATGTAAGAAGTATGAAAATAACAAGATATAATGTGCAAACAGTAACTTTCTTATTGAACTTACAAAAACTGCCATTTTTTTTTTTGTGTGTGTGTGTGTGTGTGTGTGTGTGTGTGTGTGTGTGTGTGTGTGTGTGTGTGTGTGTGTGTGTGTGTGTGTGTGTGTGTGTGTGTGTGTGTGTGTGTGTGTGTGTGTGTGTGTGTGTGTGTGTGTGTGTGTGTGTGTGTGTGTGTGTGTGTGTGTGTGTGTGTGTGTGTGTGTGTGTGTGTGTGTGTGTGTGTGTGTTTTGTTTTATGGCACTGGAACTAAGCCAATTGGCCAGGTTTCATTATTTGAAAGACGCATTATAAAAACAATATGCAATACGAACAGATTCTTAAATATTCTTCATTGGAACTATCTTAAGAAAGACGTAATATAAAGAGAATTCATCAATTACAAAATGTTTTTTTTTTGTTTTTCAGTATCTGATATTACCACCCCTATTCCTAATTACACTTTCCAATCGATTTCGCATGGATCGGATGACTTTTCTAATAAATTCTTGAGGCATTGCTTCCCATTCATCATTAAGCGCAGCTCTTAATTCAATTATGCTCCTTGGTGCATGATTTCTGCTCCGGATTCTTCGTTTAAGCTCATCCCAAACATGCTCTATTGGATTTATGTCCGGACTCAACACAGGCCAATTTATTATAGGTATACCGATCTTAGTCAGATAGGTGGTGGTGACTCGTGCGGTATGACATCGTGCATTATCATGCAATAAAATAAAGGCATTACCAATAAATCCCGCGTATGGAACCACATGTTCCTCCAAAATATCTCTGATGTAACGATCCGCC